CACCTTTCTGTACTTCCTTTGGTCACAAAGTCTCACTGCCATTTGATGACTTACTGTAACTAGGGTGTCTTGTAGACCACTTGGTTTCTTTTAAGAAATCATGGACCAAATAAGCCAACATTTTAAGAATTTAGTGAATACATTCCACACATATACTCCTTTTCTTTCTACTGCTCCCTAGATAAAACCAATGCCGCTGCCTTACTGAACTTGGCATCCTTCAGACCTGTAATCCATTCCAAATCTCAATCTCCATGTTGAACTGAGTTAAAACATTAAAACATCTTTTCTTCTGTGAATGAGTTTTCCAACTTGCTTAATCTCCTCCAAGACATCTGCTTTCTGATGAAACCCAGGAGCCTACAACTCTGAGTAGAATGTTCACTGTGTGGTCCTAAAACAGACATATGCATGGATTCCTCTTGCAATATGCACTCCAAATTTGGATAAAACTTTCTTGGAACTATTTGACATAATGTTCTGTAAAAATTATCCAAGAGATGACACATTTTGAAGTTCCATACCTCATTTACTGAAATACATCCAAGAATAAAATTCATATGGAGGGAAAAAAACCCACAGCATCATTTTTTAAAGGTTTGGTTATTACATCTAGGACTGTTCTAATAACTATCCTTTGCTGCCACCTAGAGGTAAAAACTATGTAGTGAAAATAAGAGTTATTTAAGTTATTAAGAAAACAAAATTAACTTGCACTATTCATGGCCTAGAAACAATGGGAACCCAGTAACTTTCCAGCAACTAAGCCTACAATGACCATCATCCCAAGCCACATTGTCTTCACCAAAGCATACCAGTATAGCTTAAAAGAAGCTGTACCATATTGTGTTCCATACCAATTGGTTTATCAGGTACATTTAAGTTCTAAGTAATCTGTGGTGCTCATTAAAAATTCACATGCCCATACCCTACTTCTAGACAATCGGAGTCAGGAGGTTCTAAAATGGGATGCAGACATCTGCAGTGTTTTAAAAAACCCCTACAGGTGGTTTTGATGAACACCTAGAAAATGCTGGGGCCATGAAGCCCTGGCCCTTCACAGTGTTGGACTTCCCACACCCAGGCAAGACAGGGTTCCAGTGAAAAAAAAAACTTCTTTTTTTATTTTTAAGTAATCTCTATCGATACCCAATGAGAGGCTCAAACTTACAACCCTGAGATCAAGAGTCACATGCTCCACTGAGCAAGCCAGCAAGGCACCCCAAAACTTAAAGCTTACTTCTAAAGGAGGTTCAACTATGGCAGTGTCTTTCAAAGTGTGGCAGGATGACCACCTGCATCAGATGAATCACTGAGAGTGTACTAAAAATGTGGATGTCCGGGGGCACCTGGGTGGCTCAGTTGGTTAAGCATCCAACTCTTGATTTTGGCTCAGGTCATGATCTCACAGTTCATCAGATGCAGCCCCGCATGGGGCTCTGAGCTCACAATGCAAAGCCTGCTTGGGATTCTCTCTCTCCCTCTTTGCCCCTCCCCCTATTCATGTGCCTGCATGCACGTGCACAAAAGCACACACTCTCTCATTCTCTCAAAATAAATAAATAATTTTTAAAAATGTGGATGTCTGGGCACATCAACAGACAAATGAATTACAATTTCTAGGGGTAAGGCCCAGGAATCAACAATTTAAATGGGATTCCAACATAGATTTTTGTACACTAAGTAGGAGAACCAATCTAAATCTTGATAAAGCTAAAGGATATCACAGAAACCTATCTTGGAAAGACTATTAATGCTATGGCAACAAGATCAGCCAACTTGAATTAGTCCATCACTCATTTCAGTTGCAGCTGCCACTGCTTGTTCATGGTTTGGACAATATGGTTGATGTTCACATAGTATTCTGATTTCTGAAGTGTTTCCTTCCTTTTTTATCTCTTAATATAACTTGGTGTTGTTTTTTCCTAGTTGTACACTTATTATAGAAAATGTAGAGAATACAGAAAATAGAAGAAAAATAAAAAGCACCTATAACTCCACTAACCAGAATTACCCCCTAACAGCACTGGTATATTTTCTCCTAGTATTTTCTCTTCAAACATACAGAGTTCAAACATGTATATAGTTTTTAATCTGTCGCAAACTATGAGTCTGGAGTTCTCTCTTGTCTAGCAAGACAGTGGATGCAGAATTGAAGACGAGAGAGGCTAATGTCTGGGAGGAGATAAGAGCCACGAACAAGGGTTTTTCATGTCCTTATTTATTGAGCTCAAAAGATATTACCTATGTGGTGAACATAAAGAAAACAAGATCTTACACATGTGAACATGGAGAAAACAATCAGACAGTACTCATTAACTTGCGTAATAAGCAAAGGGTCTAGGGGGCAAGTGGAGGTTGTGATCTAAGTACAATAGTATAACGGCATCAGATGGAAAGTAATTTCCTGCAGGTGATATAACAAGTTACTTGTGATCCCATTACAATAATTCGCTAGCTAACCCCAAGAGCTTTTGCCCCTTGGTGGCAGCTTTCCGCCCTAAGCTTTTTTCTAAGCCTTTTATCTGGATTAGAAAAGTTCTACTTATGTATGTAAGTAGAACCTATTCCCCCACATTAATCCTGTTTTTAACATTTCTGAATAAACATTTTCCTATATCTTCAAAAGCACCATCATTATTTAAAGATAGTATAATACTTTCACGTGATTATAATGTAATAAATAGTGTAAACTTTTGTTATAAATAATGCACAAATGAATAGCCTTGCTATTTATAATGCATCTGTAATTCATCTCTGATTATTTCCTAAAAAAGATTCCTAGCAATAAAATGAGTGAGTCACAGGATGTCAGTTTTAGGGATCTTGATACATGCTACCAAACTACTATCCCAGTCATTGCTGAGGCCACCCATCTCACCAAATCCTTACTGGGCACTGAGTTTTATTATTTAAAAAACAAACAAACAAACAAACAAACAAGATTCTGCCTATTTGAGAGGTAAAAATATTGAGTGAGTATTCTGGCACCGGAGACCATGAGGACAGGATGAAAGGAAGGAATACGAATACCATTTACAAAATGAGGAGAGTGATATCAGAGTATTAGCATATCTTTGCTATGTTTAGGATTAAGTATCAAAAAAATGTCAATAAGATGGGGCACCTGGGTGGCAAAGTTGCTTAAGTGTCTGACTCTTGACTTCAGCTTAAGTCATGATCTCCCGGTTTATGGGATCAAGGCTGGCATCGGCCTCTACAATGACAGAGCAGAGCCTGCTTGGGATTCTCTCCTTCTCTTTCTGCTCCACCACTTCTTGTGCACTCTCTCGTGTGCTCTCTGTCTCTCTCAAAATAAATATATAAACTTAAAAAAACATAAAAGTAATTTTTTTTTAAATGTTAGTAAGAACACTAAGGTGCAAAAACTCTTCTAGCAGCTAGGCATACAGAAGATTGACTAAATGTACCAAAAGAAAGCATATGAAGCATATGCACCATATAGTTATCCTTAATTGAAGGTTCATATTTTTAGCTAAGTCCATGTAATGTTTATTTGAAAATCTAAATATGGTTGCTATAAAAGTTAGACGGCATTTCAAGTAAGTAAATGTTTATACAAAACAAAGACTTTACTGTACTTTACCAGTATAATAAAAACATGGAAACAAATTTCTATAGAATGGAAAACAATATAAGAAGGATTCCCATAAAATCAGTATTAGAAATCTATGATGAAACCGCAATGCCTTTTAAAAGATTTATATATTTTTTAACTTTTAAAAATATTTATTTATTTTGAGAGAGACAGAGAGAGAGAGACAGTGTGTATGAGCAAGTAAGGGGCAGAGAGAGACTGGGACAGGGGATCTGAAGTGAGGTTTGTGCTGACAGCAGAAAGCCTGATGCGGTGTTTGAACTCACAAACCATGCGATCATGACCTGAGCGAAGTCGTACGCTTAACCAACTGAGCCACCCAGGCATCCCTAAAAGATTTATATTTTTCAGCTCATAGTAAAGAAAGGATGATGTAACCAAAGAGGGAAAAAATAATCATCATCACCAAATATGGATTACAATGGGAGAACTACAGTTAGCTGAGATATTTTTCCCATCTTTTTCACAAGTATTTTTATCCAAGAGTATTTTTCCCTAATAGATGAAAATAAGAGTATATCTCTGAGTATGAACTCAATCAAGCCTTTACTCTTTCACACTCCACAACTCACTCTCCCACTCAAGATCATTCAACATATCTGTGACTCTTCCCTCACTCCTTATATATTAACAGAGAACAAATATTAATACAATTCTACCTCCACAATGTGTCTTCCCCCAGACTTTGTCCTTCCTATTTACTCCATACCACCCCCCTCCCCCAATACATAGAGTTTGTAGAATCACATACAATTTTCCCTATCTAGGCCCAGTCTATGGTCCGATTTTGCCTGTGGAATACAACCTAATTTGAAGTCACTCCACTTATCAACTGGGCCCAATTTCCTACCTCAGTGACACTGCCGAAAATATTCTCTCATCCCGGTGCCAAAAGTATTCCTTTACTCTAGAATACCCTCCCATTCCTGCTATTAAAAATTCCTGCTATTAAAATTACCCTCCCATTCCTGCTTTTAGAGACTCAAGTCAAATGCTACTTTCTTCATGAAGCTCTCTTAGACCCCTCGGTTGAAATTAATATTTCCCTGACAATCTCATGACCCTTTGAGATTAATTTGGGCACTACTCTTGCTTATCTCCCACTATACTACGATTGCCAAAAAGCAAGAAACAATCAATTTATCTCTATATTTAGTACCGTCTACTATTGAGGGCCTTGCACACAGCACACTCAACACATGCTGGCAGAATTGCTTTAGTAAATATTTTTCTTCAACTTGACAGTCTTTAATCTGATGTGTCCCCAGAATCTAGTGTTTCCAAAGAAGTCAAATCCCAGGCTGACTCTATGTCCTGTACAATGTCTGGTTCTCCACCAGCTGTACCATTAACTACCTTTTGTTCTTCTGTTTAATTCAAGATCAAGGAGGTATGCAAGCAGAGAATCCCAACACGGATCCCCAAACCAAAATCTACAGGCAACACTAAGCTTTCCCCTAAAGCTCCCCCAGGGCCTATGGATAAGTCCATTCACCACACTGGCTGTGGGAAGCTACACATCATAAGGACTGTCACCTCTAACACTTTCCTCCACATGGGAGGGAAAAGGTAAGTCATACCAATGCACTGTCTGGATACATCCATCTACAGAAATATCTGGAAAGCTAAAATTACCAGTATGAAGGCCAAAGAGGAAAGGCCATCTCTCTAAGAAATGGTGAAGTGGCAAAATGACAAATAATGCATTCACAGGTTGCTGGACCCGGTAAACAGGATCCTAAAAGAGCAGCGCATCTACGATTGTTTTACCTGTAGTGTGTATTTTTATATACACACAAACAGGAGTACATAGCCCAAATTCTTCCAATTCCTCATTCTATTTGTAATCCACTCCAAAGTTGGACCTTTTATCATTACCATGGGGTATGACTGAATTCATTAGAATGGTTCAAAAGTTTTCTGGTGAACTCAGAAGTAACTCTTTCATTTCACAGAACTTTACTGGATATTTTGCTAAGAGGATATGCTAGCAAGAATTCCTAATCTGCTTCAACTAAGTCAGATTATTTCCATCAAAATGGCAGCACAATTAAAATCATACTTTAAGGTCTAGAACTATGATTTCTTTACAACCAGGAGGAGAAAAAAAAGTGGTAATTCTTAGTTACAAAGAAGAAAGGAACAACAAAAATGAGTAACTATTGAATACATCCTTTGTGTCGGACTTGATAATCACTGGTGTAATATACACACTTGACTACCGGCAGTTAGTCTTCTGTCCATTTTTTCTAGTAAGTTGCCCTTTCTATATATGCCTGGCCATGGAATCACTTTGCTAGACTTATAAGGAAAACCATTTTAAATCGGCATTTCTGCTTTCTAAAGCAATCAGGACATTTAAGAGTCAAAGGTCACCAAACTGAGATCTTTTAGGGAGATACAAATCACTGTCCTGGGTGTTTAAAAAAAGGCAACAATTTATCATCCCATCAGACATTCTTCAATCACATCACTTCCCCAAATCAGTGCTATAGAAAAATACAGTCAACTCAGCAAGACTCAAATTCCAATCGTAATTTTTTACTCATTTGACAATGGGCTTGGCATTCATCGTTGTAGGCCTTGAGTTTCTTGTATGTAAAACAAAAGAGCTGAATAATTCTTTAGGTACCTTGCAGTTCTGATAACCCATGAATACGTCCAACTAAGAATGTTGAATTCCACCAGTCATCTACAAGGCGAGACTCACTCCCCTGGCAGTAGTAAGCTAAAGTAATTCTTTCATCACATTTAAAACTCTCTTACTCAATTAAGAGAAAGGTGTGTATAATTCAGTGTGGACAGAGCAACACAATAATGTTACAAGACAAGGCATTTTAAAAAATATTTATTTTTGAGAGAGACAGAGAGGGAGCTAGAATGAGAGGGAAGGGGCAGAGAGAGAGGGAGACAGAGGATCCGAAGGAGGCTCTGCACTGACAGCAGAGGCTGATGTGGGGCTCGAACTCAGGAACCACAAGATCATGAACTGAGCCGAAGTTGGAAGCTCAACCGACTGAGCCCCCAGGTGCCCAGACAAATAAGGCATTTTTGACATGAGAGACAGAGGTATATTGCACTAAGCGGCAGTCAGGAAAAAAAATTCTATGAAGAGCATGATGCAAGGATCTCTGTGATTCTGCACCAAGAACTGGAGACATGATCCTGGAAGAAATACTGAAGGACAGTGCTTTAACCTTCTATCCTGGGATGGAGCCAGGAATACCACTCTCCACACTCATCCAGCCAAGCCTGGTTCAATGTGCTCATGTCACTGTACAAACACCCCTGGCCCACTCCAATTTCAATGAGGAGGAACAGGAAATTTGGGTAGCATTGAGCTATGAAAGCTAAAGAGAGAGATGATGTGCAGCAGTCCCAGCAGGCAAGTGGCAGAGGGAGAATGCAGAGGAGGTCAGGTGAATTAAAAGCCTAAAGCAGAAAAGCCTAAGTTGAAAAGCAGTAAGAGACTAGTGGAAGGGAGTAGACTACAAAAGAAGGTGATGAAGCTCTAACATAAAAATAAGAGAGAAACAGTTCAAAAGGAAGTGCAGAGTAATAACAGGTGGATGTTGCAATGGGAAAATGTGTAGAGTGCTTAGTGCCAAGCCTGCATTATGCAAGTAATGTTAAGTGAACAGAGAATGAATGAATGAAGGAGAGAAGGGCCATTCAGTCAACATATAAGTGAGAAAATGTGCTAAGAGATGATAATGGTATATGATAGGGTCTGGAAAAGCAATTATGCCAGGTGACATTCAATACTGATAATTATGCTAAAGGAGATAAAAAAAACAGATTGAAACTGAACAGATTGAAAAGAAGCATAAAACAGGAAAAACAAGCACCAGAAATATTCCCAGAAAAGCAAAAGACCCTGGGAACGTTTTTACCTTGTAGGGGAGCACAAAATATGTTGCATGTTGGATATTTCTAAATGGTTTTCTCCTAGGTCAGGAGACTCCTTAAAGTGCCATGCCAACCTGCCATAAATTAAAGAGAAGCAAGAAAAGAAAGACAAGATACTGTACAAAGTACTAAAAAAGAGTTGGAAAATAGTGACACTTCTATGGCAAGCACTAAAATACTGTATTTAAATGGTAACAGTTCTAATCCGATTAAGACAAAAGTCTTTAAAATAACAAAGTCTGTTTCAACAAAAGGATCACAAACCAAAAACCAAGCTAATTTTTTTAAATTTTTTTTAATGTTTATTTATTTTTGAGAGAGCGAGGGACAGAGCGTGAATGATGGAGAGGCAGAGAGAGAGGGAGAGGGAGACACAGAATCCGAAGCAGGCTCCAGGCTCCAAGCTGTCAGCACAGAGCCTGATGCAGGGCTTGAACTCATGAAATGCAAGATCATGACCTGAGCTGAAGTCAGACACTAACTGACTGAGCCACCCAGGCACCCTAAACCGTGCTTATTTTACAGCAATACGTGACACAATAAAAACGCATAAGCAGCTTACAACTGGGAATACTATTTGGAGTTCAACAAAATGGTGTTTGATCTGTAACACAACTGAAACATGAAGAATCTTGTCTCCTGAACATAATCCTATTTCTGCAGAAATGTGGACCCTCTGAAAACAATAAAAATAAAAGAATCTATCCTAATATAAATTTTAAGTTAAATTTTTAAAAGAAAGCAGATAAAAACCCAAGTGAATAAAAACAAATCCAATTTGTAACAAGAATTTTAATAACCTGAAACTTTTGTGCTGGAGTCCTTCCTCAGCCCTTCATTTGTTTAGCTTCAGTGATTTCTGAACTAATTCCCTTTTAACTATTTGGAATATAGTATCTGTTTTAATAAGAATGTGACTAATCTAATATATGACTGATAATAATGGACTAAGTAATGGAGTAACTGATGTAAAATGCAATCCTCTCTGGAATATGTTTCAAATTCCTATTTTAAGGAACATGTGACATACAACTCAGGTTCTGACACTGAATCTGGGGCAGGGGTATGCAAACTGCAGCCCACAAGTCAAATGTGGTCATAAACATCTGTTTATGTATGCCCTGCAAGTTAAGAATAGTTTTTACATTTTCAAATAGTAAAAAAAAAAAAAAAAGAAGAAGAAGATGAATATTTTACAAGATGTGAAAATTATGTGAAATTCAAATTTCATTGTCCATAGATAAAGTTTTACTGGAACACAGCCACACTCATCTGTTTATATATTTATTATGTATGACTGCTTTTATGCTACAATGGCAGAGTTGAGTAGTTGTGACAGTGACTGCACAGCAAAGCCTAAAATATTTACAATCTGGCTTTTTACAAAGAGGGTTTCTGACCTCTGGTCTAGTGTGATTTAGACTAGCAAGGAACTCAATAAGAGCTTAAATAATTTAATCAACTAATTTTTAAAAGAAATACTAGTAATTTAAGAATTCAATTAAGAATTCTGTGAGAGCTGATGAAAATAGGGAAACTATATTTCAAACTGTTTGTGATATTTAGTAAAATGTATAAAATCTATGAATGCATTAAAGTGTTCAACTAAAGAACATAAGATAAGAACAGGTCAAAGGATTTGTGCCACAAAATACTTTAAGGTGTTGTTTTGAATCTGAGAGGGGAAATGGAAGTATTTCTAGGCCTTCCAAATTCCTGGTATTTTTCAAGAGATTCAGAGATAGTTTGCAAAATTATAGAACTACTATGCATGTAATTGGAGAAAGACGTATAAATTTGTATCTTTAAATGCTCACAATTGTTGTCAAGAACCACTTGTTTAATCACTTGTAAGAACCATGGAAATTGTATAGTAAAGTAAAACTAGCCCATGAAGGTTTTCTGTGGGTCCATTTGTTATATAATCTTTAAGTACAGAACATTGATTGTTAATGTAGCACATGCTCTCTTCTCTTTCCTTCCTCTCAGTTTTTAAAATGTATCCTGTCCCTGTTTTTTGCCCTTGAACATTTGTCTTAAAATAATAACACTTGTATTTTGGTCAAACCATATCAATGTATAAATTCCATAATGTAAGCAGATATTTTACCCTCTAATTCCACCACAGTGTCTAAAATAGGGCCAAGCATGAAAGCTCAATAAATGATTTTGACATTGATTCTCTGTTGTGTGTTATCAAAATCTACTGCAATTATTCCAAGTCTAAATTCCACATGTGGAAGCAATGTTTTACAACATCTACTCTGCATGGCTGCTTATAGATAAAATTAATACTGTAAAGGTCTAACCTCAGTGTGAGAAGAAGAAAAAAAAAATCAAACACTTGAAATATTCAGGTTTAAAAGATCCAAGGTGTTCCCCTACTTCATCTCTCGGAGGAATTCACAGATAAAGCAATGATTTGAAGGCAATGCTATAAAATGGTAATACAACAACAAAAATTACAATGCTCGTTTCAGCATTCTCAAACAAAATGAACAGTCACATTGATTCTAGGTAACAAAAGGAATTATCAGTTTATTATTACTTTTTAATTTTATTTATTTATTTTGAGAGAGACAGAGCATGAGAGGGGGAGTGGCAGAGAGAAAGGGTGAATCTCAAGCAGTCTCCACGCTGTCAGTGCACAGAGCTTGACATGGGGCTCGAACTCACAAAACCATGAGATCATGACCTGAGCCAAAATCAAGGGTCAGACTTAATTGACTGAGCCACCCAAGTGCCCTGAAATTATCAGATTATAAAGCAAAATTCTGTTTTCTCCTTTCAAAACAAAATTTATAAAACTAAATACAAATATGATTAGAATAAAAGGTTAGTAGACATGGTTATACACAAGGATTTTCAATGTATTTTCAGAGAGAACTAGAATCTACCAAATCTGTCAAACACCTGGGCAAGATTTTGATAATTCTTCCAGTGGATTAAATTTCTTTAGATGTGGAACTCCGTGCTGAGGTCTTCAAGATGTGGCTATGAAATGAGTGCTACTCTAGGCACCAGACACTACTGGTACCAGGACCCAGATACTACTCTAGGACCCAGATACTAACGTAGGCACTGAGGATACAGCAAAGAACAAGGTAAACAAATCCCTGCTCACAGGGAGCTCATATTCTAGTGTGGGATCACACCAGAATGTAATAATTTAACAAGAAAATGTAATATACTAACAAATGTAATAATTTAACAAGGAAAATAATAGTTGGTGGTAAGTGCTCTGCTGAGAATTACCATAACATGATAATGTAATAGAACAACCAGATGGCTACTTCAGATTGGCTGACCAGGAAATGTTTCTCTTTTGGTGATGTCTGAACTGAGGTCTTAATGTTCTAAGAAAAGGCCAGTCATCAGAAATGCAGGAAGAAAGAAAAAGGAATAGCTATTGCAAAGAGCCAACACAGAATGAGCTTGGCCTACTGAGGCACAAAATAAAGGCTGGTGTGAGTAGAAGAGCACAAACTAGAGGGGAGTAAGTAGTAGAATATCTTGGCAGATACCAGTCATGTAAGTAACCTGGGTTGTATTGTGTGGGTCAGAGGGAAGCCACTGGAGGGTTTAGGCAGGAATGAGATCTGATCACTCTGGTCACTCTGGCTGCTAATTACAGAACAGTCCATAGAAGGACAAGACAGAAACTGGGAGTCCTATTAGTTTATTGCAGTGGTTAAGGCGCATGATGACGATAGATAACATGTATTCTGAGGGAGTTAGGAGAAAAATGGAAAAAAAGGGATTTATGATGTCTTAGAGGCAAAGACAAGACTTGATAGATCAGACATGAGGGGTGAAAGAAAAAAAATAAATGAATAAATCAGGATATTCTAGGCTTTTGTTTGTGAAATTGGGTAATTGGTAATTTAATTTACTGAGAGAGAAGTCTGAAGAAAAAGCAACTAATTCAATAGATGGCTCTCATTTTCATTTGACATTGCTATTAAATAAGCAAAGACTTGAAGAAGACAGCCAGGTGTGTGAGTCTTGAGCTCTAGGATCAAGTTAGACTTCCTGGCAAAGATTGTTCTCAAAGCCCAATGATACAACCTACTTATCTGTATCTCTGAGTAGTCAATGTTCTTTAAAAGAATAAACTTTGGGAGAATAGGAGTTAATAGACACAATTTGATAACAATGCATATAAACAAAAGGGTTTGTAAACTATGAGCCTCTTGTAATTGATAAAGGATTGTTATTTTAGAGATGAGATTCTTACCACTGATAATTAGAATAATTATAAGAAATTTAAGTGCACAGACTGGTTTCAGATTGCCTGCCTATGAATCACAGCCTTCCAACTTAACCAACTAAACAACATTGGAGAAACCACTTAACCACCTAGTGCCTCAATTTCCTCACCTATAAAACAGGGATAATAGTAACTATATCATGGTATACATGTGAAGATTAAATGAGCTAGTACACATAAAGCAGTCAACACAGTATCTGGCACATAAAAACCACTCAACAAATGTAAGTTAGTATTATTATCTATAGTCTCCCTATACTGTATATAGAAGTGTGTTTACACTTGAGTTTTCTAGTTAGATGCTTGGTAAGAAGTAGCACTGAAGATTCAGAATGAGCTAGGGAAGCATATGAAAAGCACTCCTCAAAAAAATAGGGGCTGAGAATTTGGAAAATTGCTAAAATATCCTCTTTAAAAGTAGCTATACATGTGCCAGTCATTCCTAAATCTCTAACTCTAGACCTGACCCAACCCAGGAGCTCCAGACTCGTATACTGAGATGCCTGCTGGACACTTGACTTGGTAATTTAATAGGCAAGTTTTGGGGATAAAAAGGGAAAACGATCAATGTTCTCTTCAGTAACTGAACGATCACATGACCAATTCCAACTGCAGAAACTCTTGGCTCTGCTCCTTGAGTCCCAGATCCATGCTGGGAATGACATTCTCAGTTTTCAGCTTCATACTGAGAAAGTGCAGTTTGGTCAACTACATGAAACCTCAGGCGTTTTATCTGTTCACTTTAGCATTAATGTTTGGAAATTATGATTCTAATACATGTACTGTATACTATAAATCACTTCAAATAATTTCTTAAGGTGGGCAGGAAGGAAGGAAATAAGTACAATGAAATAAAATGAAATGTCAGATGCCATTAGATGACTCTTAGGTTCTGTTGTGTGAAGCAGACTGGCTGCACACTCTGCAGCAGAGGCAATTCTCGGTTGTCTTATTCTGGGCCATGACTCCAACCACCAACAATAATGTCAAAAGGATGACATCCCAGGTGGACTAGGGCAGTCCCAACAAAATTCTAATAGCATGGCCTGTTGTTCTCAAAAATGTTTAACTGGGTGAGAAACTATACGTCTATCTATATACATGATCACTAAGAACTCTATAGCATCCAGCAGGCATGTGTGCACTTATTCAGCTACCATCTCTCTAACACCAGGTGCTAGGTCCCATGCTGGTCTCCAGTGCAATGCAGGATTCTAGCACAAAAATGGTAAGTCCTGAATAGGCCTTAAGATGTATGCAAAAAGGATGATAAACAGATCGAGAGCTTTAGTAAAAGCCTCTCAGTTACTTACCACATCTAAGAAGACATGAGACCAGCAAAAATAGTAGATTTCCTTAGACAATAAGTAGATAACTGGATATGTTAGACAGATGTCATCCACAGTGTGTGTCAGTGTTTGGGAATCTGTATATTTGCATAGTTGGCTCTTGGAAAACATGCATAAGAATTCATGTCTGCGAACGTTGAGCTTTTGTTCTAGATGTAGATTATTGAGTGAATGACTAAATGCTTCTTGCTACCATAAGTGTGAATGGAAAACAGATCATAAGGAAATAGGTTTACTTTCATAAGCAAGTAGCAGAGCACACAACGGAATAAAGGCATCATTGCAACTATCTTTCCTTTCTCTGACTTAAGGCACTATTTCCCCTTTGACCTTCAAAACAAAATACAGTTCACACATTTTAGGATGACCCCGTTAATGTAGTAGAATAAGGAAATCTGAGTTGGTTCAGTTGTGATTTCTTCTGATTTAGAAATACAATACAGATTACTTAGGCAAATCACCAATAGAAAATCAAGCAGATCTCAAGGAAGCTTAAATGCTCACTATGCTTAAAAGCAGTTAAGCATACGCCCCTGAAACGCTTCAAGTCAACAATTTTCCAACCTTAATCATACAACTAGAAGGAATATGAAGTGCAGGGTGATTCTAACTTTACTACCTTGATGGGAATTCTGGCAACCTAGATGACGGAGGCTGCAGCACTTTAAAAATTCTAACTAGATCCAATGTTTACAACTGTTGGTTGATTAAAACCCTTAAAAACGTGATCTGTAAGGACCCCTCAATTTACATATCATGATACTGAGGCTCGGCAAAGCCACACAGTAATAGGGGATAAAGTGTGACTTGGAAACTCAGGCACACTGGCATAACTTCATCCCAGACCTCTTCCTCGCTGTATGTTTCCAAGAACATTACTGATCTTTTCTTAGATTCTTATCCATAAAATTGAAAGTAACACTTATCTTTTAAGCATATTATGAAGATTAAATTAATTTGTATTTATGAAAATATCTGGCACATAATAGACACTCAATACACATTAATTTCTTTCCTTCTAAAGGGTGACTAAGTTGAGAGACATACAGCTGGTAAGGGGCAAGAGGCAAGGCTAGAACCAAGAAATAGGATCCCCTTCACCACTCAAAAGGAATTCAATTTCTTAACAGACTTCTATACTTAAATCACACCATAAAATATAGCTTTAAACACCTCAGTTGAGGGGGTGGGGGGAAGGGTTATTAAAGTAAATATGGAACACTACAGCCTGCAAAGAGGAGTGTTTGTACCTTTAAGCACAGAACAATATTTCCTAGAAACAGGTTGCAAAAGAGAAAGTTTAATGAAGTATTACACTGGCTACCTTTTTAAGAATGACATCTGCTCAGTCTGTACCTGAGGGATGCCCTTCTGGAAACAATGCTGTAGAACTTTGCATTTTTTAATGGATATTTCGCAACACATAATTTCAAAATTAATATTTGCAGCATATATGGATCAAGTGTCAATCATGTACACCGCCCAGTGGACTGTACACATGAATCAGATTTTGGTTTTGTCCTAAAAAATCTTAGGATCTAGTAGAGAAGAGAGGCAGACTTTGGAGAATGATTTAAAAAGGTAACTGTATATTAACCCTTATGGAATCTGAAAAGTTCGAAGTCAGTAACCTGACATCTTTAGGTCTCATGTTCCTCTTCTATAAAATGGTTGAGTTCACAGGATGATCTCTATCTAAACCTCCTTAAGGGTCTAACAGTCCAAGTAACATGATGATGATAGCAAGAAAAAACACAGTATATATTTACCTCGCACATATTAGGTGCCAAGTACTGCGCTAAAGTGCACCATTTGTATTATCTTTATTTAATCTTCACAACAATCTTTGCAATTAGCATTATTATCCTTCACGTACAGATGAGGAAAAGGAGACAAAACAGTCTAAGAGAGCTAGAGTTGCGATTTGAACAGAAGCAGTCTGAATCTAGGAGTTACCCTTAACCAATACGCCCAAACTCCCTGTATTCACGAAAAATCTCTTATGTGTTAAATATGTAAAAGGAAGAGCTTGGGAAAAGGATCCTTCCTGACTGGCGGGCAGAACTGAGTTAATGTCACACGGTTTCACGTTGTAATAAAGCTCTCGCACCACTTCTTCTGCGGTGCTCCTGCACTCCCACAGGTAGGCACCTCACCGCGGGGACAAACGCTTTGACCGCCAGAAGCGGACAGGGGCACAGGCTTATCGAAATACTTGGGGTGGGGCGGAGGGAGCTCAGAGGAGGCCCCGCAGCAGGGTGGGCAGAGCGGGTACCTGGGCTGCTGGCTGCTCCTGCAGGCTGGTTCTCCCACCACTCGTCTCCAAGATCGTCTGCCATCTCCAGGCGGGACTAGGTGTGGGTGGACCACCAAGGGAAAGCGGACAGCGTCTGGTTTTCTAGCAGCTTCCAAGCCGGGAGGCCAGCGTTGGCAGCACGCGCCGAGTCTCTTCAGACACCGTCGCCTCCGCCCCGTGGCGATGACGTCACACACCGCCCCGCCTCCCCAGGGCAGGCCTCCCCGCCCATCTTGTCGCAGTTTCCACACAAGTACTGATGGGCAAGATCTGTCTGGTAACTCACCCTCAGAAAAGCATAAAGACAAGAAAGCACATAACTCCAAAAAAGATTATTATCTTTTTAAATAACTTAAAAAAAAACTTTCTTAGTTTTTTTTTTCTTTCTTTTTTTTTTTTTCCCCTCTTGAAAAGCTATTGACGAAAGTGTGAAACAGGATGCTAAGACAATTTTTCCCTGTTCCGTTTCAAAGAACTTGTGCAGCGGGAAAAAAATTCAGCACGTGGGTATGTTTTCGTTTGTGTGTCTGTGTTTGGGCGCCTGTGTTTGTATAGTTTGCTCTTAGGAAACGTGCACAAGCATTCATGACCATGAATGTTGGGCCTTTGCTGTAGATTGGTGTACTGCTCTTTTTTTACTATATGAGTTAAGAAAATATTGACTGGTCCGGAAGGGCTCACCCACGAAAAGACACAAATGGTCCGGAGAGTTGAGTCGTCCGTCTCCCTTACGCCCTGTTCCATTAAGTTTGTTACCGCGTTTTGTGAAACAAAAGAAGGGAGTCCGTTACTGTTTAACTGCAGGTAAGAGACTAGTACTTCTTAACTCACCTCCGATGTGAACTGGCAGAGATGGGCAGGAAATAGCTGCTGAGTGCTGAGGCCTCCTGTAAAGTAAGTGTGGACAATATTTTTTCAGAATGGTCTGCGTACACAAAAATCATTCGAAATTGTGTGAAATACACGCACAGGGCTTGGAATAAATGGTTTAAAGATGAGTAGGCTATGAGCCCCCTTCCAGATGTCACCAACAAGAGTACAGGAGATAGAATTTGTAAGAATAAAGATCTAAAGGAATGATTGGATAGATCCTTGGAAATGACAAGGACAGAGGATCTTAATCATGAGGATAGGATTAGCCATACGTGAAAAAATTACCCCAAATCCACCTAATAGGTGGCTTATAAATGCGTTACTGATTAGACTTTATCAGTATGCCTTAAGTATGCCTTAAATGCCCTGAAAGGGAAGATACTAGGTATAAATGTGGGGAATACAAAATAATCTGTAATCATCAAAAGTAATGTGCCTTTCATGAGAAAATGTAGATGGCAGAAGATTTCGATGATTGATGGGTTATTGAAAAGGAAAGTTAAATAAGAAATACTAGTGTGGAAGAGGAAGTGTGGTGACCAATAAACTTATGAAATGACACTGGGAAATAAAAAAGAGACCACAATAGGATACTTTTTTTTATGCAGAAATTGACAAAATTAAAAAGTCAGACACTGGGGCTCCTGGGTGACTCAGTGGGTTAAGCACCTGACTTCAGCTCAGTTCATGATCTGGGCGTTCCTCGGTTGGAGCTCTGCCTCTGGCTCTCTGCTGACAGCTCAGAGCCTGGAGCCTGCTTCCCATTCTGTGTCTCCCTCTGTCTCTGCCCCTCCCCCATTCATGCTCTGTCCCTCTCTCTCTCTCCAAAATAAACATTAAAATTTCTTTTAAAAATCAGACATTACCAAATTCTAGAGAGCACGTGCATCAGTGGGAATTCTTAGACCTGACTGTTGTGAGTGTGAATTGGTAATAACCACTTGGAAAAGCAATTAGGCACAACCCTGTAAAGGTAAACCTACATACCTGATGGTCCAGCAGTTTCCACTCCTAAATAGATATACTTGGGAAACTTTTGAACGCTATAGAATGTTCACAGCAGCACTGTTAGTAATAGCAAAAAAGCAGAAACAACCCAAATGTGTTTCTATAGGAAAATGGATAGCTATATTATAGCATCATCATTCAGTTAAGCATAGGAAATGAATTAACACACATAACTATATGGATATATTTTTGGAAATATAATGCTGAGTTAAATGCCAAGTTTCAGATGACATTTTGCCATTCAAATACAGGGAAAACCAAAAACTGTTGAGACCAAAAAATACATATGTGATTTTAAGGAACTGGTAAACACAAAATTTAGAATGTGGAGTGGCCAGGAGATAGGATTAAGAAGAACAAAAGTAAATGTAAGTTATTGGCACAGGTAAAAGATAAGGGAAAAATCCACTTATACAAAATAGGTATTTTCAGTAGAGTTAAATTAGGTGCTATTTAAGAACTCACTAAGAATTCCAATTCACGACCCCAAATCTCAAACGACACTCACAGCTTCCAGACAGTTCTGCTGCCTTTCCCATGTGAGTTCACTTTCCCACTGTCCCTGATCTTTTCCCACGATCAGTCTTCCTCTTGTGCCCTGGATTCCAATCCCTTTCACCTAACCTTTTCCACTTCAATAAGTGGCAGCATCGCCCTCTTGGTTGCTTTGTCATCTGATTCATTGGTAAGTTTGTTGGGATCAATCTTCAAAATATATCCCAAATCAAACCCTTTAACTAACCTTCTCATCACTTCCACCACTCAACCTTGGTCTGAGCCACTGTAATAGTCTTGTAACCAATTCCCCTGCCTTTTCTCTTTCCTCAGTCTTGCTTCCACACAAAAGGAGTGGAATCATTATCTCACTCCTCTTAAATGCCTTAGTTACCTCTTACCACACACCCACTCCCCTATGACCTCCCTGGATTAGAATTTCATCTCTCCTATTCACCACTGTGGCCCTAGGACCACTACAGTACCTGGCATTAATAGATACTCAAAATCTACAGACTGCCTCACTGAATTTGAACTTCCTTTACTCTGTTTTATTTACCAAACAACCTGATAAGTTTGTTTCCCAAGTCAGCTTTCTGATCCATTTGCTTCAGGTTGAGGGTAGCTCATCTCTTCATTCCAGTGTTGAATATAGCCGTTTTCTTTTCTTTTCTTCTTCTTTTTTAAAATATTGCCACTTTCTGTGGGTGCCATGATGTAAAAAGGCTGGGAAAGACTGAGTTAGAAGGGAAGAAAAAAGTTTAAAGACTGGCTTGTGAAGGCCTACGATATGATGAAAAGAGCTTAATTGAAGGCTGAGGTTCTTTGTTCTTGAACCCAGTCTATACATGTACTTTAGGGAGTCCATGAACCCCTCATAATGTATTTAAACTTTTGCATCATATGGATGATAATAACAGCAACAACAGCATGTTTCAGGTACTTTTCTAAGTACTTTATATCTTAATCATCTAATCATCTTAACTCCATGAGATACTATGCTGGACTGGATATTTTCCATTTACCATTCTCTACATTTCCATTTCCTAGAAGGCTGATGTAAATCTCCCCTAAGCTCTGATTTCAGATTTAGGTTCAGCAAGTTGGAGGCATCAGGAAGAAATCAAAGGATGAGAGAAAAATGACACCCTATGTTGTCCTCTTTTCAAGGCTGGGACTAGGGTGCCGCAAGCAGAGGCCTAATATGCAAAATGTAAAGGGGCACTCACTCACAGGCTGGCACTTGAATAAATGTGAGAGCAAGTGCCTCCTAAACGTTCTTCTGGAGGTACCTGCTTGCCTCATATTCGTCCTGGCACTTATCTTTCCACTGGAGGCCAAGGCTCCCTCAGACTTAGGGGTAGTAACAAGTTCCCACTCTTACTAGTTCTTGGGTTCTATGCCATCTGTTGTTTACCTAACCCTACCTCATCTTCATAAATACTTTTACTAAATTTTTTAAAATTGTACAACTTAAAGGGCTTGTTTTTGCTTGTTTCTTTGTTCCTTTGTTTTTTCCCTGCCTGGACCCTAACTGATAGATTTACTACTTTACTTTAGGGTCTCTTAAAAACAGGCATGGATATAAGTAGTTTATTTGGGATGTGATCGGGTGAGGGGGAGGGAGGGGGCAGGAATAAAGGCAGGGAGAAGGAGATAAGGAAGGAAGGATGAATATTAAACTGGTTATATAACTGGTTTTTTATCCTCTTGAGAATCCTCTGAGAAACAATGTAGACTCTGCCTCAGAATTATCTTCAGGAAGGTGAAGTCTAGGGCTTTTATCCACTGACTGCCATCCACCATTGGTTAAGGGTTGTCACCAGGAATTTGAATTTCCAGATACTTCCCAGGCTATGCTGCCACTGGAGAAAGCCCTGAGGCAGAAGAGCAGAATTACGTAGCTCATCATGCTTGAGGTGGAATGCTAGCAACTTCCCAGAACTTTCTCCCATTGCTGGGCTGATTTCAAAGTGGGCTGAGGGGCACAAAAAGCATCTGCTCCATGTTTGTATTGTTAATCTCTCTATTTTATAGATGGTGAAACTAAGGCACAAGGAATTAAGTAACTTGCTCTAGTCACCCATCCAGTAGGTGGTTTCCCATCTGCCTATGGCTTTCATAACAAAAATGACCTGCGTCCACTGGAATAGGGAAAAAACAGTATAGAAAAAAGGAAGAACTGAATTGAAGATCATCACCGTCAGTTTGTTACTATGGTTTGGAAATAAAATGGTGAGGAAAAGAGAACCGAGAAATCATTTCAAGTCCTAAAAACTGAAAGTATGATATCATCTTTGATGAAACTAGCACAACAAAAATGAGGGAACATTTTAGGGGTGAAATGATGAATTTGCTCTTAGAGGGCGTGGAAACAGACAACAAACAAATCAATAGAAAATTTCAAATGATAGAAGTACTGTAAGGGAAATAAGCTACACTTGTGACCTGGGTGGAAAGGTTAGTGGAGGAACATGGCAAGACAGGAGGATGGAAAGGGAGGCAGGGCCAGACCTGGAAAGGCTTCTTAGCCATGGTAAGGATTTCAATGAGGAGGCCATGGGAGACTTTTAGGCTGGGAGATGTGCTTGAATTTTCAAAGCTGCCTAGTGTGCAGAAACAGTAGAAGCAAGAAGACCAGGTTGGAGACTGTGGCAGTTACCCAAGTAAGAGAGCAGTTACTTGCAATATGATGGTAGATGTAGAATGGAAGAGAAGTGAGACTGGATGAAATCACTTAGACAATGCAGAGAAGAGGAAAGGGTTCCTGCGTGCAGTGTACTGACTATATCCCACCTCCT